GTTGACAAATTGAATAATAAATAGATGTCCGACTTGGTCGAAAACAAATCATAAAATCTCAATTGATTGGTTCTTTATACCTGTCACAAGCAGAGACAATGATTCATTCTCTCTATTTTACATGTATTCGCGCAACTTAATGAAATTTAGTCAATAATAATTCGTCATATCATTTTGATTACAGTAAAATTCATTTCTAATGGCTAGTCTACCTTTAACAACAACAGCAATTGAAGAATTTAATAATAAAGAACTACTTGATCGTGTTCGACCCCTTCTTCAACGTGATAAGATTCGTCTTTGGGAAGCACCATATACAGATATTGATACTGGTGCTGAAAAAATTCCAGATGTATGAAATAATAAACTTTGTTTGATTTTGTTTTTTCTTGTAATTATATTTATGTAGGAATTAGTTGAAAGTATTTGTGCTGAAGTCGGAAGTACGACAGAAGAAATTCGTCTTGCTCTATCGTATCTTCGTCGACATGCTTTAGAAAAATTAGCTTCTAAAAAACGTACTGATTTCCTAACACTCAAAATTCGTTCATCCGGTGTCTCGAATAATAAAGTAAGTCAAAGAAGACAGAGAGAAAGAACACAAGAACTCTTTCGTATAAATAAAAATTTCTAATATTCTGTTTTTATTAAATAGAATGATTGTATAAATATTAGTATATCATGTCAAAGTACTGGTCATGAATTAGAAAAATTAATTCAAGATCAATTAAACTTACATGATCAAAATATAAAAATGATTTGTTCAGGTCGAATGATTCAACTTAATGAACCATTACAAAAACAAAATATTCGTGTATATTGAAAATATTTAATCTATTTCATTATCTTTATTATTACTATTTTCTCTTTAGACAAATGCAACAATTTTAGTACTTGCTGTGCCAAAATCAGCTGTTGCTTCAGCATCAACTGATGTTCAAACTTCAAATTTAATTGAAGCTGTTAAAGAAGCAACTAATATTCTACATAATAATGCTCGTAATTCAACAGATTTAAGTCAATATCAATTACGTATAACTGATCAACAAGGACGTGAATTAACAGCACTAACCGATGATGAACAACGTTCATTAATGACAGCAATGACATTACATGAAAAAGGTCGTTCATTTCTTCGACAACGTGATTATTTAAGTGCATTATCATTATTTAGTGAAGCTGATAATGAATTTCGACAATGCTCATCACAAATATTAAATTCTGTTGATAATTGGTAATGTTAAAATAAAATAAAGAAACATTAATTAAATAAATTCAATATACAGAGTGTTCTAAAAATCCGTCGGAAAAAAAACACGAACAGTTTTATTGATGACCGAATTTAAGTTTTGTAAAACGAATCATGACAGTCGAATTTGACATAGAAAATGATATTACAGAGATCTCTAAATGCTTTTATAAAGCTAATACTTGTACAGGTCGGTTACATTCTGCATGTCCTACAGCAATGAATGAAGAAAAAGTCGATGTAGTTCATGTTAATAGTGAAAGTATATCGACAGGAAGTGTTCTAATTATTTCGCATTTCAAAAATAAAATACATGAGTTTCTAGACAACATTTTCTCGAATATATGCAATAAAAGAGATAGTTCGTTTCGATGAGCTTCACACTCATTAGACTTACTCTTCCCACAAAATATTAATAAATCAGGTTCGAATCCGAAATTTTGATCGACCGGGTCTGGGTCCGGAAGTTCTTGGATCTGATGGACTCTAGTTGAAAACCTTCTCTCGTTAACATCTTTCGAATTCTTTTTAAATGATAATACATAAAAGACAATATCCGCAAAATGCTTATTAAAGTTCATGTTGAATTAACAAGAGAAATTGATGAGAAAAAACTGTAATGAAAATTCTATTTGATCTTTTATTTTCTTCAAAAATTTGCAAGCATTGAATTTGCGAGTTTCATTTGAGTGTAAGCATTTTGAACATTCTGTATATGTTTGTTTATGTTAATAGGGGTTTACTTAATTTGGATATTGTATGGTGTTATCTTTGTATGCAAAATGTTAATGAATTACAAGGTAAATTATTTTTGTTTTTTGTTTTACAAAAGGAATTAGTTATACGATTCATGATAGATGCTGCTGAACGATTAATGAGATGTGATACATGTTTTGTTAAAGTTTATGGAAATTCATTTCAACGTTTAAATGCTTTACAAAAAGATGGTAAAGGTCATATGGTACTTTTTGTTCGATTACATTTATTACAAGTAAATATGAAATATTGTTTTATTAAATTAAAAAGTAAAAAAGAGGAAATCATATTTTGATAGGCTATTGTTGCTTATCATGCTGGTCGTAAGGTTGATGCAAAAAATTTACTTGGTATGGCTGAAGAAGAAGCACGAATGATGCGTGTTGATCCAGAAAAATTAACTCAAAGTTAGTTTATTGTTTTTGTTATTTTCTTATTAATAAAATTTTTATTTATTTAGTTATGTTAATGGGTTATACAGTAACAGAAGCTCGACGAGGTTTAAGAAGTGCACAAGGAAATATTGATCAAGCTATTGAATTTATTATTGAAGTAAAAAAGAAAATAACTAATCGTAAACTTTAATATAAATCAATCATGATATTGATTTAGAATCGTCGAATGCGAGAAGAACATCGTCGTGAAGAAAGAACTCGAGAAGAAGATGAGCGTTTACAAAATCGTTATGGACGTACTCAAAATGGACAAAAGTAATAACAAATATTTTTCTATTCATTAGAACTTTGTCTTTTTGTTTCTTTCTTAGAATTAATATTACTTATTTACGTCAACTTCAATCAATGGGATATTCTCGTCGAGTTTGTGCTGAAGCATTAAAACAAGCAAATAATCGTTTAGAAGAAGCTAGTGAAATGTTACTTACAAATCTTGATACTCTTCTTACTGCTAGTCGACTTTCAAAAGATGATAATAATAATAATGATGATGATGATGATGATCATGGTGGTAATCAAGAAAGTGAATTAATGGATGATGGTACACTTATACCACAATTAATTGCATTAGGAGCTGAACCTGAACAAGCACGTGCTTTATTAGAAATTTATGGTAATCGATTAGATCGTGCAGCAGAAGAATTATTACAGAAATTTAAAAATCCGATGGTAACAAATACGGATGATCAAATGTCAAATTTATTCGAACGAGCACGAAAAATTGTTGAGAAACGCAGTAAAAATAAGCATATTAACATTTTTTGTTTTTTATCTTTTGTTTTTTATTCTTCTAGCTGCTGAAAAAGCTCGATTAGATGGACAAGCTGCAGCTGATGAACATAAACGTTCTACACTAGAAACAATTGTACCTGATTTATTACGTACTAATCGACAAATAGAAGATATTAATAATGATAGTGGACCGGATGATTATCTTGATTTATTATTAGATGAAGAGGAAACATTTATTCGTGAATATCGACAAAAATTAATTAACGATGGTGTTGGTGAATAAGAACTATAAACGTATAAAATCGACAAATATAATTTGTAACATAGTCCAGTTTTCTTCTTGTTTGCATGTTTATATTTATTTTAATAAACTCGAAAATAGTGACTTCTAAGAAGATCAATTTTTCTTTTTTGCCAATAAGAATTCAAACAAAAAGAAAAAAACGATTCTTTTCATCAAAAAAATCTAATAGAATATGTATTATAAATTCAACTGAATTTTACGATTACTAAGCAACCAATGGTATTCATTTAGCATATGTACACAGATATTTTTTCTACATTCTATATCAATAGATCTGTTTTATTTGGATTGTGAAACGATGCAATAATGATCAAAGTGAACAAATTCAAAATGTAATTCATTTTTTTCTAAGAACACTGCTACTTCATAACTATCCTGTTTTTCCAGCAGAGTAGATCGAAAATGTTTCTTTCGAGAGTCGACATTGAATAAAAACAAATGTTGACGTGTTTCTTTAAGCATATGTTTTCTGGGCACAAGTTGCGAATGTGTAGAAATTATTTCAAGTATAACAAAGCATTTTGACGTTACGTCAGAGCACTTGAAAGTAAGGTACTTTAACATACTGTTCAATTTCAAATGCGCTGTTTTACCCTAAGATCAACTATATTTTTCCTCTTCCTCTTTTTTTTAAACAAATCACTGAGCTATTTATATAATACTATAGTTTGCATTGCTTTCTATCTTATATACATTGCGTTTTTTTTTTATAGGTATCAGTACTGTAAGACTTAGCAAATTTGGTCGAGTAACAGCAGCAGTTCTTGTTCAAACTAGTCATGACCTTGAAAATCAAAACATTTTTTTGAATACCATCGTGACAGTGGCAGATTCTTAGCCGCGATGAACCTCCATGATAGATATGCATCAGTTCCATTCCTGACTGGCTATCCTGTAAACTGGTACTGGTGGATATCTAGTTTTTTTTTTCATGTCATATTATTAACTATCAGAAACAAAACGATCTATAATCATATAGTATCCAGAAAGTGTGATTCCGTTTATACTAGGAAATTTTGATATAATCTGAAATAAATAGAAGTACTTTGAAATAATTAAAATATAACTTTAAGTATATAAGTAAGTTGTTCCTTTTTAGGCATACTTGGAACCGATCCGATTCCGAGTATGTTTCTAGGAATTTTTTCTGAACTGTATCAAGGTGATATAGTGCAAAATGTGAGTTGGAATATAAAAAGTATCAACTGTATTTCATCTGAATGCTAGAAAAAAATTCACCTATCATCTCTCTCTTCTTAACTTCTCGCTATAAGGATGTAAAAAAAGAATGTTGACGCTAATGACATCTAGTTTAAATTAAAAAAAAGAACAATCATTTAATCTTAAAATGAAAAGCTATGTTGAATAACTTTTTTTTTGTTGTTTCTTTTTTTTCTGTAAATTCATTCTAAATTGAAAATAATAAACTACTCTATTGAGTTGATATCCATGACAATGAAATCTTAAATGGTAATCAATCCGTTCTAACAATTTGTAAATCACTATGGAAGGTGAAACAGCTGTAATATCATCAACGAATATTGATCATAAAAATGATGTATCATCTCCATTCAATTCTAAATATCCTCAACAACAGCAACAACAATCTCGACCTACATCCACTAATATCCGTTCAAATATTGAAGAACGACATACCCTACCAGAAATACCTCATAATCCATTAACTGCGACTGTTGCACATGTTGTTTCAAGAGAACTTGGGTAAATTATTTTATTTTTTCAATAGGAATCAGTCATTCATTATTATTTATTTTAGAGAAAATTTTCTTAAAACTCCAATACGTCCAGAAACTGTTAAAAAATTAGTTGTATCAGGAAATGTTGATGATATAACACATCGTTTATATGTTCAACATTTACGTGAAATTCAAGCTAAACGAGAATATCAATTACAAAAAATCGGACATGATGAACAATCATTTTTATTAGCTCATATTCAAGCACATGAAGATGAAGATACTGAAGAAAGTAAGAATTCAATTTCTTAATACAAAAAAAAAACAACAAAATTTATTTTTATTTCTATAGAAGCACATCTTACAAGTTTATATGTCGATGAACAAACATTAACAAGAGATCAAGTCATATTACCACGAGATTTTCTTAATTATAATCTTCAAAGATATATTAAACAACCAGGTAAATATTGAAAATTATATATTAAAACAAAAAAAAAAGAAAAGAAATACTTTAATTTAATATTTAGCTAAAGAAGAAACAAAATCAAAAGAGGCTATAGAGAGTGTCAAACAAGTAATTGATGATGAAAAAAAATTGGTAAAATATCATAGCAATTCACCATTCAATTATTTTTGTTTTGTATCTTTAGCCTAAACTTACTCATCTAACTAAAAAGAAAACTTTAAATACTTTATGGAAAGATCAAATAAGTGTACCAGAAAGAGATTTAAGTCGTGCTCGTTTAAAAATGCTTGATAATCTAACTAATTATCAAATAAATCCACGATTTGATGGTATTCGACAAAATCAACTTATTACAATAGGACCTTCCTATAAGTAAGATAATTATTCGGAAGTATTTTACATTATTTTTTTTTTTGTTTTATTGTGTTTTAGACCTCCAAATCTATTACCTGTATTCGAAGCTGTTCCATCGGAAATTATTTTTACTCAATATCGAGTTGGTGATGTTCATGAAACAACATTATGTTTACGAAATTTAAGTAGTGTTGCACGTAGTTGTCGAATTGTACCACCAAAAACACCATATTTTTGTGTTAGCCTTCCTCAATATCCATCGGGTCATTCACTTGTCGCTACTGGATTAAGTGTTATATATAATATTAAATTTTCACCAGATACATTAGGTGTTTTTCAAGATGAAATTATTGTACAATGTTCAAATGGAACAGAATTTCCAGTTAAATTATTAGCTAAAAGACCACCACCAGTACTTACACGTAAATAATCAATGTTTATATTTTTATGAACATACGAAGATAATTTCGATTACGTTTTTTTTTTAAATAATTCTCAAAAGATTTTAATCAGTTTAAATTATTCATATGAATTGTATTGCCAATAGGTTATCATACAAAATCAATTTCATACTGCCGATAGTGTGAAATGGATGATAACTAAAGGGCTTAAATTTTAATAATTGGAACTTATGAATCTGAACGAAGTTTTAGTACATTACAACGAATTAAAACAAAACTAATGAATAGTCTCTCATCGAAAATCTTAGAGATAGCTGTAGAATTTAGTATATTAAAATCATATGTTATGAAAGATGCTTTAAAAAAGTCTTCATGATTGATAATGAAGGTATTAAAACACTTCTAAGTAGAATCAAACGAAAATTATACAAATAGTTATCTTAATTTGATAAGAAAATAATAAAATTCTATTCGTTTTAGTTCCATCATTGGTTGATTGTGGTTATTGGCTTGTTGGTGGACGTAAAATGTGTGAATTTAAAGTACGAAATGATGGTGGTGAAGGACGATTTGCAATTATTCCAGCTGCATCATGGCCATCAGTCAATTTTAAGGTATTAAAAAAATTAATAATAAAGATCTCTTTTTTTTTTGTTGATGATGAATAAAACAAAAAAATTCTTTATTTTTAATTAGACTGTAGCTCGTAATGAAACTGTTCAGTTACCACCATTTGAATTGGCTCCTCCAACACTTGATCTTCGTCCAGGTGATACGTTTTCATTGCATGTTTCATTTAATCCTCATTTACCTGGTGAATTTATTGAAGAATTTATTATGATTTGTGATAATGGTGAAATTTTACGATATAAATTAAAAGGTTGTTTTTGTTTTCATACATTTGATTTCTTCTAATCCAATCATAGAGATCTTGTTTTTTGTTTTTACAGGTGTAGGTCAAACAATTCAAGTTCGTCTTGAAGATATAGAAGGTGGTGTTATAGATTTAAATGAACTTGAAATACGTGATATATCAGCACAATATTCAATTGGTTTTATTTCAATAAATCCATTTTCTTATTGTCAAAAAAAAATGACAATCAAAAATTTAACGTAAATAGATAATAAAAACAAACATCTAACAAGAAAATCATTCCAAGTAATAAATCCTATTCGAATTTGAACTCTGTACAAATATATACTAACAAATAAAATAATCATAGTTCGAACTAGAATTTTACCTGAAGATACATCTACTTGGAAAAGAAATTCTCTGAATTATACTCATGAGGGAACTACCTGAGCTGATATTAGCTGTTTACGCTCATATTGTGTTCATAAGGAAGTCTCAGTAAGACTAGAAAAATTCTAAAAGAGTTCGTATTCATGAACCTCTGAAGCTGAGCTATGGCTGTTTTACTCGATTTTCGATATAGATTTAGATATTTATCGAAAAATCAAATAACAGAGTTTCAACCGGAAATTTCGTCCACGAATTGATTTGATGATATTGCAAATATCCTGAAAGTCTCACCTGTTTTTCGTTAAGTACCTAATGCTGAATCGAAATTTGAGGAAAACAGTCAATGTATTAGCACAAACAGTGGGTACTAATTCGGGTAGTTTCCTCATTAGTTCACCTTTTTAGAGGGCTATTTTGCTTTTTTTCCGTGATACTAGAAATTGGTAAATTAAGGTATTGACTAAGGGACATTATATTTTTTCGAAGGTTATACATTATCTAGGCGCTACTTCGACAAAAAAAATTTAGAGACATAATGCAAATAATAAATTGTTGAGGAAAATAGTAAAAAAGCAGTATCAAACTAGGCATGACCATACTTCCCATCACTGAACTTTCTAATATAATTTCTTCCGTTCAAACTTTATTTTCAAGTTTTTCTCAAAACTCTTTATCTATGAATCTCATAAAAATTCTGAGCATAGGTTTTTACAGAGAACGAAATTCTAATTTCAAGTCAATGTTTTCAAAATAAAGGAACATTTTATTTAGAAACGTTCTATCCACTTGTTATTTGTTAGTATATATCATGCCATAGACTAAAATGGCTAGAAGGAATACATAAGTACATTTATGTGTTTTAATGCTTTTCATATTTCAGTGAGATTTACTTTATGTACAAAGCTCAAACTTGAATAGGATTTATCGATTGGAATAATTTCCTTGTTCAAAGTTTAATTGATTTTTTTTTCCTATATAATTTTATTTTATCAAATAGAAATGTTGAATTACCATTTATATGGGCATTACTTGAACCAGTACTTTATACACGTGAAGATTTTTCAAAACAAACACAACCAATTGAAATTGAAAGAATCGTTTCTGAAACATCACAATTTCATGTTGAACCTAGTCGAGGAATATTTCCACCATTAACAACTGTAGATTTTCGTCTTATTTTTGCTCCATCACAAGTAATTTATATATATATATATATATATATTTTTAAATATATTCTATTGAAAAATTTCCCTATTTTCAAATAATAGATTGGTAATTTTCATACAGTCTTCCATTTAATTGTACCAAATGCTCCAACATATCCAACACCATCACCAAGTGCAAATCTTACTGGTAATTTAAGTCACTTAGCTAATGAACGAGCTCCTTCACCTGATTTATTACCTCGTAATGCTGCAAGACCTTCAATAATTCCACCAACAAGTATTCAAATAGCTGATTATACAGGTAGATTTTGATTATTTAAAACAAAAATTATTCTGTATCATCATATTTATTAAATAGTATTACGATTTGAAACACGTGGTACTTGTGAAAATTTTAAATATATATTTGATCCATTTGCTATTATATTTATGGACAAAATTTATAAAAATTTAGCATATAGAAAAGATTTTCAAGTAAGTGGAATTTATGAAAAACCAAAGGACCCTGTTGGATAAGATAACCACCTTTCATTTGAAAAGTCACTTATACCGTTTTATAGAGCAGCTTGTGATGTATCGAATGGTACATAAGATATTGCTTTTTCATCAAGCTTTAATGTTCTGAGAAATCATATATCAGTTAAGAGATATTACAACAATTGTAAGTCATATGATCATATATTAGGACTCATTATGTTTCCAAACTAACTTATATGAAATTTTGTTTGAAGTTACTTCGATAGAGTTTTGTCTTGTCTTCAATAGTGTATACCTAACAATAGTTTTCTTCGTATCCAAAACCTTGTTCTCTAGATTGATGTGTGTCATAGTCAAATTGGCCAATCAATGCTTAAAAAGTCCAATTTTTCAGTTCGTAAAAGCAGATAAAAGTACTTGAGTTCTGCGACAAACACTTTTTGAGTGAAAAATTTTCTATCGATTAATAATAAGTTCATCACACCCTATCATTTCATATATATAGATCTTTCGAAAATAGCAAAAAAATTCAAAGTTTATTTGTTATTTTATTTTGTTTCTTATGAATTAAGACTCTGAGTACCCGGGTGTGGTTAGAGTGTGAACCTCTATTAGATTCAATATATGTTCGATTTCTTATGAAGATCAAAAATTTTGCATATCTGCGTACTCTCCTACAGGGATCTGAAAGCAAAAACGTTTTTGTGCTTTTCGAAAGACTCATATATGTCAAATGATAGGGCATGATGAACTTATTATTCGTAGATAAAACTTTTTCACTCAAAAAGTATTTATCGTAAAATTCATATGCTTTTCTCTATCCTTAGGAATCGACAGATTGACTTTGTTTAAGAATTGATTGATCGATATGACCATAATGCATATCAATTCAGAGAACAATCAATTGGTATACCGATAGAGCTTGGTCTGAGAAAGTTGCACAGTTAGTCGCCTTTGCTCTCAGGAATAATATCGAAGAATTGAAAACATCATAAAAGCTAAAAATTACAGAGGCTAATGAAAATCCTAAGATTTTTCTGTACGAAGAAACCTAATATTAGATATACATGATTGAAAACGAGACACAACTCTTTTTCAGTAACTCTAAATACAGTTTGATATAGATTGGTTTGAAGACATAATGAGTCTTTAATGTTTGGCTATATCACCCATCATTACTATAATATCGCTTCACTGGTATACAGCTTCTTAGAACATTAAAACTTAATGAAAAAGCAATTTCTTATATATCATTCGATGCATCACCAAATTGTTCTACAAAACGGTGTAGGTAGTTTTTCAAATAAAGAGTAGTCATCTTATTCGACAATGTTCTTTTCATGAATTTTGTTTATTTTAAAGTTAACTAATACAAGTATTAGTCCATTAATGGTTAATTGGGCAAATATGATTGGTGAACAGATTATAAATGTTGAACCAGTTGTTGCAGAAATTCGTATGTCTTTTAAAATTTAATTTAATCATATTGAAAAATAAATTTTATATTATTATTTAGCTGCTGATGCAACTTGTCAATTTACAATAATTCTAACGGGAACAAAAGTTGGTCAAGCAAAAGTTGAATTACCATTTAAACTTGATGGAATTGATGATTATGGATATTTACATGTTGAAGCAGATATTATTGTAAGAAATTTATATATATATATATCATTAAATAAATTTTAATTAGTAAATTTTATTTAGGGTCCTGACATAGAAATTGATCCAAGTACACTTGATTTTGGTTTAATTGAATATGGAGAAATAATTGAAAAAATTATAAAAATCAAAAATTTAAGTCCAATTATTGCAAAATGTCAAATACAAGAAGTAAATAAAGTATGTAATTGAAAAATTTTAGAAAAAAAAAGAACATAAATACAACATTCTTTTTTAAACAAAATCCACACGAAGAAATTAAAAAGAAGAAAGGATGATGAACTTTTTTTGTATCTCGTTCGAAGGAAAGTACAGATAAAGTTTTTGCCTTTCGAATTTGAAATGTAACAATAATATAATTCTGACAAGAATTTATTCATCAACTGATTGTTGAACTTCAAATCTTTCACCATAAACTTAACATTTCTCTTCGAAAGGGACGATTCAAATCAAAGTTTGATCTTATAATGATTTTGATAAAAGTAAACAAATTTTATCAGAGAAAAATGGTGTATCTATCAAATTCTTTTCAACCAATCCGAACCAGTTACAACTCTGTCTTGCCTATAAAGCTTAAATCTAAGTTAGGTTTAAGTCTCCTGACTCTATTATCGATGAACCTCGGCTCAGAATGATAATAGCATATGATGATTTATACTTATCGCTGATCCTATATTTTCTATGTTTGTGTTTGATCATATGAACCGTATTCGATTCTCTCTACATTCTTGACTTTCTGATCCAATGGAGTAGTTAAGAACTTTTTGAAAGATCTGAAAAACTATTCTTTAGATTCATCGGAAGTGAATAAACATTTTGTTTAGAAAGTTTCCGATCTTTTGTTATAATTTTGAAAAATTTCAAAAATATTTTTCTTTTATCTAGGATCAATCTAAATCTTTAATATCTCTACCAAATGGTACTGATTTCATACTTAAACCTATTGAAGTTTATGAAATGCCTATTCGTTTATTGGCTAATGAAGAAGGTGCCTTATTAGAACATTTAGAAGTAATCATAGAAGATGGCAAAACTATGTAAAATTAGTTTGTTTTTTTATTCCTTCTATTTATTTTCATTGTTTTTTTTTTCTTTCTAAATTTTCTTTAAGACCTGTTGAAATTACAGCAATTATTCAACGACCAAGTGCTTATATATCACCAGTTGAACTTGATATTGGTGAATCATTTCTCAATGTTCCAATTGTTCGACAAATTGAATTACAAGCTATTAATGGATTACCAACATATTTTCAATGGGGCGAAGTATTAAAAAACAAAATGATAATTTCGAATTTTTAAAATTAAAAAATTTGTATTTTATTTTTCGTTTTAATTTTAAAGCCAACATGCATTGATAAAAATCAATGTTTAATTGAAATAAATCCTCGACAAGGAATTCTTTATCATGGTAAACAATATTTTATTGATATAATATTTATTGCTCAACAATGTGGAATATTAAATGATGATTGGCATATACCTTGTTATATACAAAATGCTGCACAACCAATTTTTCTTAAATTAAATGCTGTAATGAAAGAAATGAATGTAGAATTTCGATATGAACAAAAGTACATTATAATTATTTGATTTTTTTTGTATTAGACGATTTTCTTTTTTAGTATATTTCAATATGATGAACAGTTTACACTTGATTTTGGTCGTGTTCCATTAGGACAAAAATCATGTTTAGAATTAGCTATTACAAATTTAACAGATATAGAAAGTGGAATTAAAGCTAAAATAGAAAAATTTAAAACACGAGTAAGATAAAAATTTAATTAGAAAAAAAAAACCTAATTGATTATTTCTTTAGCCTCTTTCAGTTGCTAATGGACGTAGTAAGAACTAATCATCATAGATTTTTTTTAAATTTTTTTTCTCATAATTATATGTATATTTTATTTTAATTTAGAAACACAAAATTTTGAACCTATTGATTCAGATATTGGTGTTGGCTTTCATTTAGATAAATCTGA